GATTTTCTGTTATTCTACGATACTTATATTGTAGAATATTCGAAAGTTAAAGTTACTATAAACTAGCAAATGCTCAAGCACAAAGACATGCTATTATTATTATTAACACTATCTGTTCATACTATTTTTTGGTTTTGTTTAGAAGTTCGCGCAAATCTACAAGAGGGCTATCGGCGCTAGCCTTCCCTAATTTAATAGTGACAGACTAGAGGGAAGGCAGCTAGCCATCACCACCCACTGCCAATTTTTGGGCTACTCTTTTACCAACAAACAGTGGCTTCACATTATAACGCCCCCACAGCTGAAAGGGCGAGCATATTTGGTGGGACGGGGATTTGAACCCGCGACTTGCAGATAGCGAATCGAGTGCCCTAATCACCTGGCCATAGTATTGCATTGACAGACACTGAAAATATGGTAAGTGCCTCCAATGAATGATAATTTTTATAGTGTCTCTGGTATAAACACCTTAATTTTTGACATGCGTAAGTGTCACCATAATCGATGTTAAGCCACTTGGACAAACCTTCTTGACACTTACAAACACTATATGTGTCACGTAAAACTTGAGGATGAGCTTTTAAGCACCATTAACTTTTCCTGATATCTTTGTAAATCTACTGTATCTAAATGATCAAGTTGTTGAGGTATAATTCTTGATCCTATTGAAATTGAAGCGAATGCAACCATACTGTATTGAGGTTATTTTTTTTTACACATGCATATAACCACTCATTTATAAACACGAATTTCGCCTATTGTAGCCCGTGGTTCGCAGATTCCCTTCAAGTGGTTTGTGAAAAGGTTGTATGATTATGGAAAGCAGGAGAAAGCATAACGTATACTGTGGTCCTCCAAAATAAAAACAAAAAATCAGGTGGTCCACGAACAAAACAGTTTCAGAACCATTTTATTATCGTAGATAGAAAGTATTTAGTAGTTTATCGAAGAATTTCCTTAGAGACTATGAAAAAATCATTTTACCCAAGTCTCTAAAAAATTTTGTATGCACAAAAGGCAACGCACACGATTAATTTCCAGCTTTGAACCAATTTATTGTTTTATGTCGTTTCTCTAACACACTACAGAAAACTTGTTGATGAATATAAGAAGCCTTCAGTGGCTCAGAGGTGTGATGAAGGCTTTAACACTACAAACCGGGTTTCGATACCCGTGGTGAGTACAGCATAGACAGCCCATTGTGTAGCTATGGGCTTAACTACAGACAAACAAAAAGATTATAAGGATATCATCATCCTAATATAGAAGATTCATAAACATGAGCAATGAATGTAGAAAAGAATTCGATCAAAAATACATGAACTCTACAACGTCAACTTCAGTGTTATGTGGTTTATTAATTAGTGTGCTCGGCTGCAAACGAAAGATCGAAGGTTTGAGCCCACGATTTACTTTTCAGCAGTGGAAGAACTATAAAAGTATCCGTTAATCCCGCTACAAAAGAATAGTAGCCATGTATAAGGTGAGTGCTGCCAATTGCCCTTCCTATGATCAGACATTTTAAATTAAGAATGTCCACGCCTGAATCTTGGGGGTCTCTGAACTGGCGGGTTAGTTCACGTGTCGCATAAAATGCCATTCACGTTGAATATACCAAATACTAGCAATACTTTTGATACTCAAGTGTAGAGATATAGGACTGGGAATGACCCAGTCTAGTAGTTAATGTTCCTGGACTGTTGCAGCAGAAACGTGCTCCGCACTTTGGGGTCATGGGTGCACTACAATAGTGAGTCAAACAGTGATGGTCAAATATCACTGTTCGGTAAAGTAAGAGCAGCCGAAGAGTTGGCGGTGAGTGCTGTTGACTAACTGTCTTCCCATTGTGTAGCCTTACACAAGAATCGCAAACAAAATATATAAGTAATTAACAGTCATATATACAATGAATAAATACATATCTATACATTCAATGTTTTGCTCTTTATAGTTAAAGGTTTTATTATTTTAACTTCAAGTATTGCGTTAGAAGTATATTGGTTTGTACAACTGTAACAACTTTATACTACAGAAGTGGGAAGAAGGGTTTTGTATTTCATCAGGGATGAGCTTGTAAGAAACTGATATGTCCAGCGAGCTTATTTCATATTCTTTTATAATTTCACAATAAATATTATGTATTAGGTAAATTTCAAGAAGTTAACAATAAGTTTCAAATAATTATAATACATCTCTTGCTTTCTGGTTCAATCTTACCTGTCAATCTACATATGGTATAGATTTTCGGTGAACTCCACATTTAAGACGACTAACTCTACTCAATTACGAATACTATATGTTTCTGACTTCACAGTTCTTACGAATGATATAAGTGTTGAAAGTATCTGTTACACATTCTTTATTACCATTACAAATTTCCAATATCAGGCCAGAACTCTGGAAAATGTTTGCTATATGCTAGTATAGAGATTTATAAGCCAATTATCTTTTTTATACAATTTGAGGATATACTTTACCGTATATCATCGTAATATTGTTTTCTCTCTATTATTGCTTTATATAACAATGTTTCAATTATATAACTTACGCCACATTCTTCTCGGTGGCATCACAAGGTTCTGAAATATCCTGGAACAAGATCTTCCTGTAGACTTCTCTACTCTCAATCTCTTTTTCCACAATCGCATGTGAGCATGAACAATGATTCCCTTTCCTTTTTTTTACTCCACAGATCTCTTCTATGTTTGCCGTGTAATCATCTAACATCAAAGAATATTTTCCGGCAGTAAACAATGAGTATTTTTAAGCGAATACAATCCATTGTTGTTTAGTTGCCATTACTTGAGACTTTTTCTGCATGCCTCTTTCTCGGCAAGAATGTCATAACACCTTTGAAGTCGATTTTTTCTAGCTCGTTCCTACTTCATAGACAGAATCTATAGTCCTTTTAGTTTTTCTTGACCTGTCGAACTTCTTAGCCAATTCTTTATAACTTTCAGATTTGAAATTGATCGTTCTGCGTTTGTATCTGTCATTGTGACGGTTAAACAAGAGCGAATCCTCAATAGTGGCGGCACTTGAAATTCTTTTATGCACGATTAGAGTAAATTAATCTACGAGGCCTTTTTTCTTATTCTTTTTATTAGCTATATTTTTGTGCGCCAGCAATACCAAGCGTGGGAGCGCGAGCATACCCGATTTATTTATTACTCATCAGGATCTCTTTTACACAGGATTAGAGTAAATTAATCTATGAGGCCCTGAGAGTGACCAAATACATCAATCGAAAGAGTTTGACCTTATGAGTCCAAAACTGTAATCAGATCTCAAATAAGTCAATAGATGACGGAGCTATAAGCTAAAAGTTTGTACTTGAAAACTCAGAGCCATTCTATGAGCCGTTATGCTGCGGCTAAAAAAAAATCATGCAAACTGTACAAGCGTCTGAGAAACTCGATGATAAGGAACTAACTAATCTCAACAATCAGCAAGTAGACAAGATTTCAGCGGTGGATATTCAGGTGATATCTTTCCATAGAGATTTCATTTGAAAAAGTTAACTTGAAGGTATAAAAAAAACACAACAACAAAGCTGAACATAAACTCTAAGATAAGTGGGAAAAAACGTATTATCAATCGCAGCAACGAATTCAGTAAAAGAGGCAATCTTGACAATTGAAAATGAGAATCAAAAACAACTCTTTAAAAATATAAAAACGTGTGTTAAGACTGGTTGTAAAGTTTTTAGAATAGCTGCATATTACGTTAGACTAATTGTTTTCTTTTTATTGTGTTTAGCTATGTTATAATGATCAGGTCAGATATCATATCATTTTATTAATTTTTATTTATTGTTTTGCATCTTAATAAGTATTGGTTTTTGTTTTTACCATGAGAAAGTTGACGCATCCAAACCGACACGCCTATTACAAAACACCTGACATTAACTGTCACACTTAAGTTATGTAGTGGGGAAGCGTATAGGGTTTCTTTGGTAAAATGCATTGTTAGAGAAATATACATCAACGACTATGGTTTAAAACAGTAACTAGTTTTTATGGGTCTCTTAACCAAGGTTTAGTTAATTTTAACTGGTGTTATTTATTAAACTTGTATTATAAAGATTAATTTACATTGTTAGTTTAAAATTTGTACTTAGGGCTACCTAAATCTCCTAAGCAAACTGAACCTCCTAAGATATTATTGGATTTACGGCTGAAAATATCGTTAACAATGAAGGCACCCAAAAAACGAAAAAAATTTATTCTAACTTTTAATTATTTACAAGTAGATATGTAGAAAAACTATACGTAATTAGCTATACTGGATAGTGTTTAGTTTCGCTCTACGTACACAGCTTACACCGATCAAAAGTTATTATAAACAATATAACCCAAATAACCAAACAATTACATGTCTGTGAGTAGAACAAATAAAAGTAAGCTGTTTGATTAACACGCTGTTAAAGTGAAAATACTGAAAAAGCCAGAAGATACAAGTAAAGAACCTTACTGACATTAACCAGTATGGAGTAAGCGTTTACATTAGTTGGTAAGAGCTCTCATTTCTTGTGTTCTATTTGAAGAGATTTCAGATCTCGAGAGGTGCTGATTGCGATACCATTACTGTAGCAATTACCATACTTCTCGGTTTCAGAGAGATCCGAGAAAAATTAAACACTAGGAATATCTTATACTTTAAAAGGTACAGCTTAAATGCCGAAAGGTGGGGAAGCACTAGAAAAACCAATACTTTTAACATTTGTGATAAAAATCACATAATTCGCACATTTTAATTTTCTACATTCCTCCTACTTTAGCAATTTCGGATACACAACTTTGATCTGAAATGAATAAATTAAGAAGAATGTGAAAAAAACTACAGTTTATGTGTTTCTGTCATAAGTGTTTTGGTACCCTATTACTATTACAGAACAGTCGACCCAAAGATAGTTTGGCATGTTCGGTAATATTAAACAAATTTCTCCAAACAAATGTATGAATCATTTCGTAGTAATCTTTGTAAAACAAAATGCTTACCTGGGAGGTACGACCGGATCACAACAAAAAGAAAACACATTGGCTGTAACTTGCTGTAATAGCGTCACTTTTCAGTCTTTGCTTCTAAGATATCAACAGGTAATATCTGTTGTAAAAAACGAGTTGATATGCATGACTTGAAACAGTGAAATTTATTATACTTCATTTACAACTACAAGATTCACTGAATAAATAGTAAGAACTGTTAGTTCATTTACAACTACAACATTCACTGAATAAATAGTAAGAACTGTTAGTTCATTTACAACTACAACATTCACTGAATAAATATTAAGAACTGTTAGTTCATTTACAACTACAACATTCACTGAATAAATAGTAAGAACTATTAGTTCATTTACAACTACAACATTCACTGAATAAACAGTAAGAACTGTTAGTTCATTTACAACTACAACATTCACTGAATAAACAGTAAGAACTGTTAGTTCATTTACAACTACAACATTCACTGAATAAACAGTAAGAACTGTTAGTTCATTTACAACTACAACATTCACTGAATAAACAGTAAGAACTGTTAGTTCATTTACAACTGCAACATTCACTGAATAAATAGTAAGAACTGTTAGTTCATTTACAACTGCAACATTCACTGAATAAATAGTAAGAACTGTTAGTTCATTTACAACTACAACATTCACTTAATAAACAGTAAGAACTGTTAGTTCATTTACAACTACAACATTCACTTAATAAACAGTAAGAACTGTTAGTTCATTTACAACTACAACATTCACTGAATAAATAGTAAGAACTGTTAGTTCATTTACAACTACAACATTCACTGAATAAATAGTAAGAACTGTTAGTTCATTTACAACTACAACATTCACTGAATAAACAGTAAGAACTGTTAGTTCATTTACAACTGCAACATTCACTGAATAAATAGTAAGAACTGTTAGCTCATTTACAATTATAAGATTCACTGAATAAACAGTAAAAACTGTTAGTTCATTTACAACTGCAACATTCACTTAATAAATAGTAAGAACTTTTAGTTAATTTACAAGCACTTTCGAATTATTGTTTACTCTTCCACCACGAGAACGTTTATTATTATTATGCCACAGAAATAAAGTGTTAGTTTGTACTAACTAAATACGTTTTGAATCAATTGCCTTTGGATTATCGTTGTAAACTACATTCAATGACTTAGACTACTGAGACAGGCATTCTAGTGTCTTTCAAGAATGAAGAAAGAAATGTATTGATTATTTCATAATATCTTATCATGGGTGAATTGAGATAGAGAGCTTTACATGAGAAAAAGTATCGAATGACACATATTACATCTTACAAATCATCGAGTTTGTTAGCGTGAATGACAGCTATAAGTCTACATGTGGTGCGTGGCACGTGCTATTCCAGGGGTGGAACTGTAATAAACTTTTTGTTTTCTCTCTCATGGAAAATCACATGCAAAAAGCTGAGTGAAATCGACAGGATGAAAATAACGCGATGGCATACGATTTCTACTTAATGAAGACGTTTAAACCAGTTTGTAAATAAAGTCCGATGTTTGTAGAATCAAAGTGGATACTCCAAAATTATTAGGTATATTACTATTCATAATAAATGAAATATTACAAGGCAAAGCTTTCTCGATATTTATCGTACGTATCGCTGTTTTATACATGCATATAACGTGCACATTTTCGGTTTAACATATTACATTACGAATCATATGCGTTATCACACATTTTACATTTTATATTCCCGCCAAATGTTTTATCTCACATTCTGAGTGAATATACTTAAAATCAAACTAATAAACACCGGGTTAAAGGAGAGTAGTACTAGGTAGTTTAACGGGGCACCGTAAGTATGGTTAGGTTGAGTGGCGTGAGCAGATTGGACGTTACCCAAATAACTGGGCCACAACACTGTAAGGCAGGTAGATTAGTGCTATAAACCATACACACACACACACACATTTTCCCCCTTTTAAAACTTCACGTTCTGAGTAAATTTTTGTTCTTTTAACAGAAATAATAAATTATTTTCTCATAAACTGGCTGATATCAAAATCCACAGCAGCCCCTCTTCCTGTTTCTTTGCCAATACAACAGCCAAACCGTTTATAAAGAAGAAAAAAAAAGCCGTAAAGTTGACTCTTTCCTATTGAGTAATTCATTCTATTATGACGGTGGAAAAATCACTTACAGCATTATTGCTAGGGGGAAACCATAACAGTTATTTACACTTTCAACTGTAAAGCAAGAGCTAAAAAATAAAATAAATCTGGGAAAAAGAAAACATATAAAGGGAAATAAATGCCATCCAATTCTATTTTCCTGAATAACATAACTAAAACAAAAGCTGTAATCATTATTCTAAATTTGAAAATACAATAAATTTCATCATCACAGCACAACCAGTTGTAGAGAAAACACATTTACTTGCGATAACCTGTACAAACGTCAAATGGATAGTGTTTGTTTAATCCAGAAAACAGGTAAGCAGCTAAAATATAACTGAAATATGTACAGCTACCATAACATTATAGATTAGACTATTTTCAATTTTCAGAAGACTGTAAGTAGTGAACTCAAGATAATCCGATCTTTCAACACGTTCTTCAGAAAACAAGCACCGGTTATACACTAAATAAAATATTTTCCTCAGTTAACAAATACTAGAATTAGTGTAATCTATTCTTGACGTCAGCCTCACAGTTCACAATGAATGAAAAAAAATAGCAATTCAATAGTTCTCCGAAATCAGATAGTTTCACCGAGCCATGTTAATAAAACTATAAACATATACTGTTTTGATCCGAAATCAGATAGTGTCACCGAGCCATGTTAATAAAACTATAATCATATATCGTTTTGATCCGAAATCAGATAGTGTCACCGAGCCATGTTAATAAAACTATAATCATATATCGTTTTGATATTTGGTTTTAAACTCCACTGAATTTTATTAGTAGCTTTTCTTAATTATTTTAGTTAGTACCAGGACAGACATATTATTTCCAATATTAGTACGTATAAACATTGTTATGGCTTAAAAAACTGATGTCTGTCGATCCACAGAAAGCAATATATTCTGTATATATATATATATATATATAACGTACATTATTATACATCTTCTTGCCTACAGCTATCCCTTGGTACAAGATAACGAAGTTGGCCTAAGCGATATTTGTTGTTCATAAATATGTCCTTGTTCTTTGGAGGCTAGGTCTTATCAACAAAGCGCATGCTTATGAAAAACATATAAACAGAACCACATACAAAAGTGCGCTTGGCACCTGTGATCTGCTCATAGATATAATTAGCTTATACAAACTATTAAGCAATAAGTTGATTCCTTTTCATTCTCATATCTTTAATGTTCAAAGAGAGAAGACCTAAGAACCAGTATCTTACCAGACAATCTTTGTAAAAAGGAAATTCTTGATTCTAAAGAGAATTCAAGGATTGTTCAGAGTAAGCACTGCTTTATGTTAAAACACTTAAAAGATACTTATTAGAAAATGTAATACACGAATCCTGAAATTTACAAGCCAACGGACATATCTCAAAAATGCAAACAAAATCTTGTTCTTAGAAATCTATTAGGTGATATCTGAGAGATGGTATTCAACATGCAGTACCTTGGACGAAGAAAATATCCACTCGCTAAGTAGAACTGTATGCTCGAATTACCTATTGGTCAATTTCTACTTCTTTCGAAATACTCTGAATTTTAAAAAGTGGTTTTCCACCCTTAAAAATACTAGTAGGTATGTAAGTTACTTAAAACACAATATAACAAATAATGTTGAGATCTTAAAGCTGTTGTATGATTGAATATTTATTTAAAAGTTCACATTTAACCAAAGTAGGTGAGGGCTAAATTTATTTTAGCCATAGTAGGTGAGAGTTCTTCGAAGTAAAACTCAGTACCCAACATTCTACCTTTTAAAAAATTTATAGTGGTAACGAATTTTATATATAAAGGTTTTGACTTCTTAAGTGTGGTTGCAATTGAAACAAAAAAGCAATTATCCTCTTCCCCTCCAAAAATCGCCTGCGAAATAAAGTTTTAGTCGTTGAAAGATGATTTTGGACTCCCAGTAATACTTTTTATAACATAACATAATGTTTAGGGACAACAACCTCGGCTGTCCCATCTTCTAAACTAAAACTAGAAAAAAAAATAAAACCTTAAAGCCAGCCCTTATCATTTATATAGTTATCAAGCTTTCTATGAAAATCACTTAAATTTACTGCCTCCACAACGTCTGAAGGCAAACCATTCCAAAGGCCAACCACCCTTTTTGAAAAATAAAACTATCTTAGCTGAAGATACCTTGCCAAAATGTATATTTGTGTCCCCTAGTCCTACTATTCTCGCTGTTAAGTATGAAAAAAGATGATGCATCAACATTATCAATTCCCTTTAGTCTTAAACACCCCAATCAGATCTCCTCTAACTCTTCTTTTTTCAAGATAAAACAATCAAAATACAAAAAGTTTAACATAACTGACTAAAACCACTATTTTTCAAATATACGTTTATCATAGGAAACTGTAAAATAAACTATTAGTTTTATTCGAAAAATATACTTTCTAAATTAAATGAATTGAGACGCTTCATTATCATTATATTAACTCCAGTCACTGCCTTATCATTCTGGTGAAGTTGGTGTCGAGATTTCGTCATAGTGAAAGCAAGAAACGGTAGAAGAATGTTAATGAAATCAGATCGTGTTTATCAACCTAAGCAGTGGCGGAGAAGCATTTAAAGTTGCACACATTGCAGACAGCACTGTGGTTTCTTCCCTTCGTATGTATGTATACAGAACTTGCTTGAGTTTGTGGCCATAGAAATGTATAACGTTCTGGCATTGCATTCTGTGTAATTACACCTAAACAATGGTATTTTACAAACAATTATCCAGGTTACCCGTTCTACGCATGGGGAGCATTTAATATTACAAATTAAGCAATTAAATGTTATACTTATTACTTACAATCGCATAATTCCACCAGCTCGCTGATTATTTGTTCCCTCTATCACAATTCGCACCACATCTACTGCAACAAACTAGATTTTGCGCTTTATCAACACTCGTTCAAGCATTAG